AGCCCAGAACAGGCCACGCTGCTCTAGATACTAGACAATGCCACTTAAAACACAGCTGGAGTGAGCATGGTTGTACTGTAGCTAGTGCAGCTGTGATCCCAGAGTAAAGATAAGGGGTGGGGGGAGACTCATTCATAAAGGACTTAAGAATTCAGTGTCAGCTCTGCCTATTATTGCAGGGTGTGTTTTTGCATTAATGCAGATTTCAGAGCTCTTGAGCTATCACAGGGGCTCCAGAGGCAATTGAAGAACTACAGGAAGGACAATGCAATCTCCAGTTGGCAGGAATCACTTTTAGATTAAAAACAAACAAGCCAGGTGATTGCCCAAACCCTCACCTCCGGGCCTGGCGTAACATTAGCCGTAATGATAATACCGATCACAGATGCCTTTCCTCTACGCTTACAAAATTACAGCCTTTTAAAGGGCTTGGCGTTTCTTTTGCTCGAGGGCTGGCTACATTTCTGCAGGAAGTGGGAGCAAGCTCATTTCAAATGTCGGAGGAGACCGAGGAAGGAAAATATCACCACTTGAGTGATTAATGAGCAAACTGCTTATGTACCAGGGAGGAAAGGGACTAAATTAAGGACATGTTTACACTGGGGAAATTTATAAGCCAGTCTCTCTCGGCTGATTCGAATGCTGATTCCAGCTGAGCCAGTGGCAAAGGGGCTTTTTTGGCATGTTTCCCTGTGTAGAAGTGGCCAAAGAGAAGGGACATTGTCAGTCTTGGACCTACGCAAGCACTTACATTTCCACTCATGAGTATTTTTTTGGGTGCATGTGGTTACGGCTGCGTTGAAGTCCATGGGAAATCTCCCTGGTGTCCTAAGTACTGGTCTGGCGGAAGGGGATGACTTGATGAACTGGCAGCTAATGTCTTACAGAAGAATCTCCCAAGGGAGGCAGCCAAACCTCCTGTGCCGATTGACTGTCTCGCCAGCAAGGGCTGGGATCATGCGTTGGCTGGGAGGAGCTCTAATAGATCTCTACTGTCCCTCACTTTTATGGCACTGTCAAAGCCCTTCTTATACCATTTTGCACTGGTATAAATCATATCTGCACAGGGCCCGTGTCCTGGCGCCAAATCCCTGTGATAATGAGGCTGGATAACTCCCTTCAGAGACTTCTAGGCTGTGATGTCAAGATCCGGCCAAACCTGCCCGCTCTTTGCATGGCTCTGTATTTATGTCAGCTGGAAGGAGGCAACCTCAATACAGCGGTGCCAGCCCAAGAAGGGTCATGCTTAGCATGAGAAGAGCTATTCTGGGACTGCAGGGAAGACGCCTGCCCACAGCTCCCAGCTGGAAAGGGGACGCAGTAATTGTTAGCTTTGCGTGCGTGGTGGGGACAATCTGTTATTTTGATGCTCAGCGTGGAGGAGAGGAGTCCAGAAAACAGTCCCCCTAGAATTAAAACACAGCTGGGGCTGAGTCACGGGAGTGGCACCTGGTGCTCACACCATGCAGTATTCAGGGTCGGGGAGAGGTGTTGGGTTTTCTCTGCACTGAAGACCCTGAGGCAGGCAGGGCATGGGGCACAGGGCTATGGGGCCTGACATGGGAAGGACCTAACTTCTTTGGTATGCTTTCACCAGGTCAGATAGCCCCTTGTGCTTGGGCTGTAGCACTGGAAAGGACGGCAGTGCTTGTGCAGCTGTCAGAGCAGCAGTGAGGAGTGGCAGAGGAGGGCTGTCTTGCTGCAGAAGGGATGGATGTTTTCCAGGAGAGAGCAGCAGAGCCAATGCATGTGTGGAAGTCTGTCTTTCGCTGCAAGGGATCTTGCAACAGTGGACACCATAAGCATCACCAACATACCCCTTCAAGACGCTCGCCTCCGGCCAGGAGGACAGGAGGCTTCTCCAGGCTGGGGAAGGGGAGATCAGTCTTACTGGCCTGCTCAGCCCTTGGCATCTCTCCTAAGGCTTGCAACAAAGGGAACTGTCAATGGGAGAGGCTTGGCATCAGGAGTTGTCCTGGCATCTCCATTTGACTGGCTGCTTCACTGGGACTGAGAATATGGGAGCACTGCTGAGCATGCTCTGAAGGGTCCCCCCAATAACTGCAGGGCAAGGAGAAAGCCGACTAGCTGCAGGTGAACAGGCAGGGACACACAATTTCTGTCCCTGCATCAAGGGCCATCAGGGCTCCAGAGTTTTGTTACGGCCCCTTGCTTAGTTTTGCATATTCAAATCCACGCAAATGTATGTGCAAATGAACTGCGACCCACGTGCAGCAGTCTGGGTACCCGCTTAACCTGACCACCACCAGATGCATTCGGCGTAGCACAGAGAGTGAGAACAGGGCATGTGTACACGTTTACAACAGCTGCTTTTCCGAATTCTCCCGGCTGTTCGCTGCAACCAGGCTGGCTCAGCACTGAGGCTGGGACTCTCCTCCCGGTTTAATTTTTTATGAGAGCCTTGTTTCATGCACACCTAGCACAGAAAGCAGCTGTCTGCTGTTGTCACCTTGGCTGGGGCTCCAAAGAGCCAGTGGGGGAAACTTTGCATTAGTTTTTCCTTCTTCCCTCTAATCAACTCCAGGCCCCTTCCACTGAGGAAAGAGGCCATCACCTTCACAGATTTGCAGGCAAGGCTTAGCCTCGTATGCTTTGGTCTGCGGATCATATCTATTTGCTGGGCAACACGTTTTGTTTCAGATGAGAAGGGTTTATTAGCCTAGCCAGGGAAACGGGTAACAGGATGAGAGCTGAGCGGCTGTTTTGCAAAGCAGACGGCTTTCCATCCTGACCTGCACCTCCCCGGCTCCCTGCACATGAAGCTGTTAATGAACCTTGATGGCAACGTGCAGACAGCCTCCTGGCCCGGTGTTTGGGCCTCAGCCACAGCTCGGCCAAGGCACCTCATCCCCGAACTCCTCGCTCTCCCTAATCGGGAATTCTCCCGGGCACAAAGACCTGTGCCCATGCCGAACTGGGGAGGGATTTTCTTCTGTGGATCTACACAAACTGGATCTGGGATCCAATTCTTCTTGCTACCTCTGCCACACGACCATATTACAAAGCCATGACTTCAGTCTTCCTTCCTCGTGCTTCAGTGCCAATATTCCTCCTTAGGGCTGTCATTCACCTTGTGGGCTACAACTGCTTTCAGCCTACAGGGAGGGAGCCTCACGGGGCTTTGCCCCGTCTGAATGTGCTACCGCAAGAACATATCTGATGGTAGGTCTTTACAAAGACGGTGCAGAGAGGTGATGCGGTCTCAGATCAGCCCGTGTAAGTGCCCAGTTCAAATTGCCATCTGTCCCCTCCGCCCCTTTTCACTTGGAACAAGCGCTTTGTCAGCCAATGGGCGATGGGTCAAAAGCCTTATTCCTGCCTCTAAGGACAAGCATGCATTTATCGTCTCTCCCAGCATTTGGGAAGCAAAACCACATCTACAACCAGGAGCGCTGTTCTTTCCAGTGACAAGATTGGCAGCAGTTTCCACTGACTCTTTTCTGACAGCTTCTTGCTATCTCTCCAGCCATCTGTTTATTTCTCTCTTGATTAACTCATCTCTCTTTTCAATCTCTCTCTCTTTCCATTTGGTCCCCCAAACATTAAATCTGGCACCTTGGAATATTAAAATTAAATATGGATTTAAAACAACAACAAAAGAAACGCTCTATAGGTCGCTAGGGAGGAGAAATTGCTTCCCCAACCTCGCCGATCTCCAATTCTACGCACGGCAGCCTCTTTTGGTTTGGCGTAATAAGAAACAGACAGGGGGAACTCACGTTGTCCACTGGTGTGTTTCATTTGCAATTTTAATTGCTTATCAGACAAAGAGAGGCGATGACAGCGCTGGCGAATTGAATGTTCATCCTCTCTCCCCACCCCATAAAGACGCCGTCCTCTTTCATCTCCTGAGATGTTGCAAGTTATGCGGTGGGATGTGCGTACAGGGCAAAGTGCAGCCGTTCTCGAAGATGAGACTTTGTTCTTGGAACCTCTCTCACATCAAAGTTTCCTCCCCCTTCTCCCCATCTATCCATCCCCCCTGCCTGTATCTGAAGCTATGTTTTTCTAGCACGAAGCCTTCTAGCTATAAACCAGTGTACAAAGGATTTTGTGTGGGTTTTTTGTTTTTTTTTTTTACAAAAACAGAAAAGCAAGAATTTCCTTTTCCCCTCCCCACTTTTTTTTTTCTTTTTGTAACATTATCCACAAAAGTTTACAAAATAGCCTTGAAATTAAGCTCTTGGGTTACAGCATCCAATTGGCTTTTCCCAGCAGAATTCAGCCAGATCCAGGAAGTTGTTGCTAGGCAATTCGGAGATGCATCATCATCATCATTTCTTTTTTTGTTTCGCTAGCCCCAGTCATCACCTTTCCCTCCCCCAGGTTCCTGAAGGTGACCGCAAGTGAGCAAAAACCAGGTGTAGAAAGGGGGTTGGTGGGTTGGATTTATGGGTATTAATGGCTGCTCAATGGCAAAAATGAAAAAGATCCTATCCCCAGGGAAAGGCCTTTTTGTATTTCCAAGACAGGGACTGTCCGACTGGGCTCATGGCAGCTGGGTTGCTGGAGAACATGGGCAGGGTCAGCTGTATGGCTGTTCACAAGCAGAGCAAGGTGCTCCCCAGCTCAGGCTTGCTGCTCTGGGCATTGCCCTCCATGCCCTGTCTCCGGAGGAGCTTTGCTCGTGGCCCTTTCCCTCTGCACCAGAGAGTTGTCTATAAGGGAGACAATCTGTTTGGCCAAAGGCTGAGGGGTGACTTGGGTGGGGCATGCGGGCAGAGGCACATGGCAAAGCCTACCCTGGTGGCCATGCCCGCTCTGTCTGCCATGCTGCTGTGTTCGTCGGTCAAGTCTTTTTTTTTTTTT